AAGAAGATTGTTAAAAACAAAATTTCTAATTCTTATTTAGGTCAATGGTTTTACTCATTAAAAAGCAATTAAAAGATTCATAGGTATTATTGTAAAAGGTGAACTTAATAGGATTAAAACTAATACTTATTCTAAATCAATATCAATTTTCCGAAATACAATATACATTTTGTGTTATTCACTGTCACGCGTTGACGTTGAGAAACATTTCTAATAATACAGAAATATCGAAAATAAAACTTACAAGTATCGAAATATTAATCATGATCAGTACTTAGTCGTACTCGCCGTATTTGATTTTGAAAAACATTTGAGAAGAGTATTCATTATATTGGTTTCAAAAGAGAAAAAGTCTTCTAATTCATACATAATACCACTGGATGAAGAATTAAATTCTAAATCCAACAGAACCATTTTTAGGCTCATTACAAGCCATAAAGCGAATCCGGACAAGAAATACTCGAGTATAGTGCCAACTTTACTTAGGTCTAATATTGTTCGTTTATAGGAAAAATATTCGAACAGTTTCGACCAAAATATGGTATTTTAATTTTTTTGGATGTCCATTTATATTCGTAACTTTTTGTGACGATCAGTTCATAGAGCTGGACTGTGTCTAATCCTAATCGGTATAGAATATTAACAACTTTTTAAAGATATGTGAGTCATTTTCTTAAAAACTACAATAAAAATTATTCTTATTGTAAATGACTATTTTTTTACTGCAATGTAACAATGATGTGACAAAAATGAGTAAATTGTCAAGTTTCTATATAAACAACGATATGTAAGTATTCATTTTTTTTCGTTCTAGTTTGACATGCTTTTGCCCCACAAAAATAAAAACTACGTACGTCTTTCCTTTTATTTTTCTTTTCAACAAGATATTACTACTCTTGCTATTTCATATTAACATTGCTAGAAAATCATCCGGACAAAAGAGTGAAAATAATGATGACTACACATGGCAAAATGTTAATTATAACATCAGATGAAGATTTAATTCGTCAAGCATTTCAAAAGAAAAATACAAATACACAAGTTATTCAGTTGGACAATAACAAACCAATCACATCAATAAACAATAATGATAATAACTATATGAATAATATAGATTTTCTTAAAGAATTATCTGAACTTGTTCGTATTTTAGATTAATTAAATAAATTTAAAACTATCTAATATTTATTTATAGAATTCTAAAAATGATCAAATATTCAAACGAGCTCTTGATTCACCTCATCATAATCAATCAAAACAAGTTAAACTATCAAAAAAATCACTTAATTTAAATTGTGCTATTTGTGGTGATCATGCTATTGGCTTTAACTATGATGTTCTTTCTTGTGCTTCATGTAAAGCATTTTTCCTTCGAAATGCTAATCTAAATTCAGTTAGTATTCTAGAGCTTTTTTATTTTTTATTATGTTTTGATTATTTTAAGAGAAGACTACGATGTGTAACAGGGGAAGGAAAATGTTCAGTTACTCATGAAATGCAGCGAAAATGTCCACGATGTCGATTAGATCGTTGTTTAAATGTTGGAATGAGAAAAGATTATCTTCTTACGGAAGAGGAAAAACAACGAAGAAAAAAACCTATAAAAGATAAACGAACTATTTCATCAACACGTTCTTCAACAGCTGAATTTATAAATTCAGCATCAACACAATATTTACCAGTTTCAGAAGATGTTCCTCAAATACTCAATGATACTGACCGTGTAAGTTTTTTATTTTCAATTTTATGAGAGAACTTCATCAGCTAATATTCTTTACTATTTGAAGAAGTTAAAATTTGAATATAAATTATTTCTATTTCAGTTACTTGTGGATATTGATCAAGTCGATAAAAATATGTTTGATAACAGAAATTTTGATTTAAATCAAGTAAAAGATGTTTTATTGGAAACCTTATCTGTTGAAGATTGGATATCAATCGAAAATGTTCGAACAGCATTTTTGTCGGTCTTCGAAAATGCACATGCCGATTGTGCGTGTAATAATATATCTGATCGTACAAATGCCCTTATCTCTTGGTCACAATTTGTTAGTAAAATTTCTCTTAATTTAATAAAATATTTTCGTCAAATTGATGAATTTGAAAATTTACATAATGATGATCGTTTTCTTTTAATTAAATATAATCTTCATTCAATTTTACCCATATTTAAATGTTTTATTTATAAACCAAATAATGATTGTTGTTCTTTTGATAATAATGCAGCAGCTGATAAACAACGTAGATTTTTTATGTTATTCGGTGATTCTTATGGTATTCGTAATGGCTTCATAAATTTAGTTCATTCACTTGTTAAATTAACTGGTCAAGATCCAACATTATTATCTCTTCTTATGTTAATTGTACTTTTTACTCCAGGGTTATCAATGAATATTGAAGAACCACTGTTAAAAGATCCATTAGCTGTTCATCGAGCTCAAAACAATTATACCCAACTACTTTGGAATTATTTGATTAGTAAACAAGGTGAAAGTCAAGCATGTAAACATTTTATTCAATTACTATCTGCAATGTTTCAAATACGATCAGTATCGAAAAACTCTCAAGAATTTATTCGTTATCAAATGATATCATCCAATGTAGTTGATCAAATTGCACCAGTTATGCAATCTGTTCTTCATATTTCTTAGTTTTCTTTTTGTTTTTAATATGACATATGTTGATAAAAAATTTTTCATAATCTCAATCGAAGATTTTTTCTTCTATTATATCTTATTTGATTTATCAAGTTCTAAAAGAGATTTAATAGAAATAAATGCTGATTAGATTTTCAAGAATTTTTGAGACATTTATTTCTATCATTATCCTTCTCATACATTCAACGTGATAGATCAATGAAAACTATATTAAGAACTTGAAACTCTTGCAATCAGTTTTCTTCCTTTTATGTTTTAGCCAAAAGCTATAAGTTTGATCAATATTTGTGTAGTTAATCCATAAAAAAAACAAAATTTTACACAGATATCTATCATCTTCAAAAAGGTTGATTGATGATGTTTGATAAATAATAGAATTTTGTGAATTTATATTTTTGGAAATAAAAAAAGGAAATTATCATAAATTAAATTTATTTTTTCAAAGTTATTTTATTCTAATAAACAAAATGTTTTCATACAGAAAGTACGTTAGTGTTAAGATAAAAACGATTGGTTGCATCATCTACATTTGCAACGATGACGCATAA